ACATGTGACTCCACCTATGCTTTTATTATATAGGAATATAGGATACTAAAAGAGAAAAAATTGAGGGAAGAATTATTAAAGGATCCAAGACTTTTGATAATTTAGGAAATTATCACCCTGATATATCTGGCTAAAAGATTGCTTCGGAAAATGTGGCATAGAGAAAAACATGAGGGTGTGGCTGTACAGTGTTTTACTAAAAATCTAAAGACCAAAAGGTGAGAGTGTTTAGTCACACAAAAGGACTCTTTTAAGAGGTTATGTGTGTGCCTCCACAGATCCTCTCAACCAAACCAGAGAGCTTCTAGGAAGCTTAAGAATCTCAACCTTCAGGTCTCTCAATAGGAGCCAACATACAGAAGAGATTATCTCAGAAAGATTTGTGGGTGTGATTTTTGTCTAATAGAGTAAAACCCAGTGAAATTTAAGACTCACAAGTTTCTTCAGAAAATTTTATAGCAGAAACATTGCTAGCTAGGGTTGAAAGAGCCAGAGAGAGAACAAAATGAAAGGAGGCTGCTGCCAGGCGCAGGCTGATAAAAGTCCTCAGCTACAAACAAATGCCGCCTTTTATGAAAAAGGAAGGATGATTAAGAGCGTGGAGCTGAGAGCCACACAGGACTATTCCCAGGTCTTGAAACCTAATTAAGAAAAATCCAACATTTCCCAATTTGATTTCAAAACCGTTATGGACCAGTGACTTCTTTTTACCTTCCACTTTTCACCATTTTGAACAGGAATTTCCCTTCTCTGTCCGTTATGAGCCTCTACCCCTGTAATCACCAGGAAACCAACAATCTGTTTCCTGTTACAACAGATAAGTTTGCATTTTCTATTGCATATAAATAATATGTAAATGGAATCATACAACACATCCTTATTTTTCTGGCTTTTTTTAATCATCCTAAGAATTTGGAAATTCATCAATGTTGTTGCATGTATCAGTAGTGTTTTTTTTTGTTGTTGTTGTTTTGTTTTTTTACCTGTGAATAGTATTCTAAGTATATAACACAGTTTGTTCACCCATTTGCTTGTTGATAGACATGGACATTTGGGATTGTTTCCAGTTTTTGGCTATTACAAAGCTGCCATAAATATTTTTATAAGTCTTGTTATAGGCATATGCTTTCCTTTCTTTAAGTAAAGACATAGGAATGGAGCGGGCTGATCATATTGTGGATGTATGTTTAATTTTTTAAGAAACTTCCAGTGACTATCTACACTAATAAAAGAGAAACATGGTAATTAGCGTACGACCGCTACCCTTTTCATTGGCTAATCAGTGAGTATGTGCAAATTAACTGTCAGCCAAGATGGCGGCCGGCAGCCAGGTACTGAAGCGAGCATGAGGCTTGCTTGCTGCGGACTCCAACATTCCCCGCCTCACTTGCCGGCCTCTCAACTGCAAGTCTAAGCAACTATATACTATGTTGCAAATAAGAAGATAAACAAAACCCCAGAAACCAGCAGACTGAAACCCAGCCGGACCGAAACATTGTATCCATGTTTTCAGCAGCGAGGCCTCAGAGCTAAAGCTGGCCCAGAAAAAAAAAAAGAAGAAGAAAACAAGGAGCGGTTGGGAGCTTTAGTCACTCGCCACCCGGAAAACAGCCCTCAACCCCTCACCCAGACTGGCCAGGCACCCCAGTGGGGACCCCCACCCTGATCCAGGACATCCTTCAGGGCAAACCACCCGGCCTCCACCCATGCACCAGGCCTCTATTCTATATAGTAAAAGGGTAATATGCCTCCTGGCACCAGGATCAGTGGAGCAGCGAGGCTCCTGGCACCGGGATCAGCGTGACGGGGCAGCGCCCAAAACCCTTGATTGCCCTGCGGCTCTGTGTGTGACAGGGGGCGGGGCCACAACCTCCCTATCCGCCCTGCTCTGTTCGTGATAGGGAAAGGCGCCCCAGCTCCCTGATCAGCCCTGCTCTGTGCCTGATAGGGGGGAGCTCCCCAATCCCCTGATTGCCCTGGGGCTCTGTGCTTGACAGGGTGTGGCGCCCCAACCCCCCCACCCCCACGGCCCTGCTCTGTGCCTGATAGGGGGGAGCTCCCCAATCCCCTGATCGGCCCTGCTCTGTGGTGTGACAGGGTGCGGCGCCCCAACCCCCCCCCCCACCCCATGGGCCCTGCTCTGTGTGTGACAGGGTAGACCCATAACCTCTCCATCGGCCATGCCCCGAGTGTGACAGCGGTGGCGCCCCATCCCCCTGATCGGCCCTGCTCTGTGGGTGATAGAGGGCGGCGCCCCAACCCCCCTCCACGGGCCTTGCTCTGTGTGTGACAGGGTAGAGCCATAACCTCCCCATTGGCCCTGCCCTGAGTGTGACAGGGTGCAGCGCCCCAACCCCCTGATCTGCCCTGCTCTGTGTGTGACAGGGGGCGGTGCCCCAACTCCCCTATCGGCCCTACTCTGTGAGTGACAGGGGGGAGCTCCTCAACCCCCTGATCGGCCCTGCTCTGTGCGTGACGGGGGAGCTCCCCAACCCCCTGATGGGCCCTGCTCTGTGTGTGACAGGGTACGGAGCCCCAACCCCCCTGATGGGCCCTGCTCTGTGAGTGACAGGGGGCGGTGCCCCAACCCCCTGATTGGCCCTGCTCTGTGAGTGACAGGGGCAGCGCCCCAACCCCCTGATTGGCCCTGCTCTGTGTGTCACAGGGGGTGGCGCCGCAACCTCCCCATTGACCCTGCCTTGAGTGTTATAGGGGGCGGTGCCCCAACCCCCCAATCAGCCCTACCCTGAGCGTGACTGAGGGTGGCATCGCAACCTCCCAATCCGCCCTGCTCTGTGCATGACAGGGGGCGGCGCCCCAACTCCCCAATCAGCCCTGCTCTGAGCCCGACCAGGGGCTGCACCTAGGGATTGGGCCTGCCCTCTGCCACCCAGGAGCAGGCCTAAGCCAGCAGGTCGTTATCTCCCGAGGGGTCCCAGACTGCGAGAGGGCACAGGCCAGGCTGAGGGACCCCCTCTTCCCCCCCGAGTGCACAAATTTTTGTGCACTGGGCCTCTAGTAGTTAATAATACTGTATTGCATATATGAAAGTTGCTAAGAGAATAAATCTTCAAAGTACTCATCCCAAGAAAATATCTAACTGCATGTGTGGTGATGATGTTAGCTAGACTTATTGTGGTGATCATTTCACAATATACACATACATAGAATCATTATGTTGTACATTTAAAACTAATATAATGTTATATGGACATTATATCAATTAAAAAATAAACTGTCTAAATTTTTATCTCAAAAATATTCAGTGTTTATGAGATGCTAGCCCCATATTCAGTAATACATAAAATATGGATTATGTACCTTTCTAAAATCTAGAAAGTTCTGAATTCTGAGACCTAAATAGTTCTAAAGTTTTCAGTATGGCACTGTGAACTTTCTACTTTGTGAGGTAATAAGGTACTATAAAATTATTTTTCGAGTCAGTAGCATTTCTTTGCTCTGTTAAATATACATAAATCCTTTAGAAAAATGGCTTTATCTTATAAAACATCCAATAGAAAATAGTTAACCTTAAGTATTTATTTAAATGAGCATTACCTATAGAAAATAGTGAGACCATGAGTTGCACGTACATTTATTTGATAAATGTTTTCACCTAGAAAATTCTCAGGAATGAAATTGTGTGTTAATGGGAACAGCAAAGCTTCTGTATGCTATATCTTGCCTAATACCTAGTCTGAGTATTAACAGCCTAGCAGTCATTATTATCAGTGTGTTATTCTAAGTGCTATTTCATCGAAATTTAAATAGTCTATTTTGAGAGACACAGTTAGAATCTGAAAAGATAAGGATTATATGTTTTCATAACATACTACCTTTTTTTAAAAGTACTACTAAAAAGACAAGATAGTTTCCATTCTTTGCCTTGAAATCAAATGAGCTGATATAGAATATGTTTGAAATTGTTGGGATAATGATAAAATTTAATACATGCATGTAAATTATTATAATTTGTCAATGAAGTCCTATCATATAATCAGGACATAGGGGTGATTGTTCAGTTATATTCTAATAGCATTGTCTCAGCCTGAGTACAGAGGATCTCTGCCCTTCCAGGGGCTTACAAATTAGTGAAGAGAGTAGACCCTCTCTTACAAGGCAAGCCTGATAGACAAGTGGAAATACTGGGATATCAATTTGAGTGAAGGTGGTATTTGAACTGAAGAAAAACATGGGAAGACCATTTTGCACGGATCCTGAGAGATACTAGTGTTTAATAACTCCTGAGGAATATAGTAGTACCTGGGGGTGATGTGGGTATTCTACTCATAGTTTGTTGCTTAAAGGTTAAATCTGGATGTGCCTAAAGTAACACAGTTAGTGGATGACGTGAAACAAATTTGAAACATATAGTTGGCACTATGTATCCATAGGTTCTGTATCCACAGGTTTTACATCTGCAGATTCAACCAACTGCAGATCTAAAATATTTGGGAAAGAAAAAGGCCTACAATGGTTGTTGCATCAGTACTGAACATGTACAGACTTTTTTTCTTGTTATTCTCTAAACAATACAGTATAATAGCCATTTACATAGCATTTACATTGTTAAGTATTATAAGTAATCTAGAGATGATTTGAAATATACAAGATAATCTGTGTAGGTTGTACACAAATGTGCCATTTTATATAAGGTCAACCATGGATTTTGGTATCCTCAGGGAATTGGTTGCAGGATCCCTCAAGGATACTGAGGGATAACTGCTCTAACTTCAAACTTGTCTTCTTTCTATCATGCCATGCTGTCTATTTACTGTAAGGCCTTTGAATAAGCGTAAGTTTGATTAGCATAATTAAATATTAATCATAATGAGTAGATAAATTTGATGGCTTATAATATAATTAAATATTAATCACAATGGTTGTATATCATTTTTTGCTTTTCGTAAGTTACATATATCATGATTAACTCTTTAATACAATTAATAAAATATACCAGGCATCTTTAAAAATTTTTTAAAATATATGTTCTCTTGCAGGGTTACATTTTGCCATTTGCCTTTCCAGAGTAAATGGCTCTATGTGGGCACTGAACGAGGTAACATACATATTGTCAATGTGGAGTCCTTCACACTCTCAGGCTACGTCATTATGTGGAATAAAGCCATTGAACTGTGAGTTTGAGCAAATCTTATATATCTAAAAGTATCAGTACCATAGCTGATATTTTATAATAGCTAGTTATTACATTCATATTGAATTAAATATCTGTCAGACATTCTTGATATTAAATATAGATTAGTCTTTTGTAAGTATTATCCTGTTGGTACTTTGTACATTTAAATACTTTATATATAGGGGTGGGCAAAAGTAGGGTTATAGTTGTGAGTATATGAAACAAATATTATTTCCTTTTATTATTATTTATCAGTTATTGTATTATTTTCCATACAAACAACTGTAGATATATATACACGCTTATTATATATGCATGTGTTCACATATATATAAACTGTAGCACAAGTTTAATAAAAAATTATTCTTATTAGGTGAAAACAGTCTTCTTTTTATCTTTTTTTTTTCATCACCATTTATCTCCTCTGCCCTCTTGCATCTCTACCCACCCCCACAGTCATGTCCACGTCCATGTCCATGAGTGTTCTATTTTTTTTAATCTTGTAATTCTTTTTATTTTATATGCTTGTCATGCCTCACTAAATTGATTTTATGACTCACTAATGTGTTGCCACAGATGTTTGTAAAACACTGATCTAAACTACTACTTGATATCTATACTAATAAAAGCCTAGGTGGTCCTCAAGCCCTTGTGTGTGACGTTGTCACAAGATGGCCGCCACAAAGATGGCCGCACGCACAGCGGAGGCGGGGCCCAGTGGCTGCTCCGTGTGGTGAGGCCTGGGAGTCCCATGGTTCCGCGTGGCACGGAGGAGGCCGGTCCCGGCATCTCCGCTGCCTTGTGCAGAGGAGGCGGGTCCCAGTGGAGGAGGCCGGTTGAGGCAGGAGAGGGCAGTTGTGGGCGATCAGGCCGGCAGGAGAGGACAGTTGGGGGCAATTAGAGCCGCAGGGGAGGGCAGTTGGGGGCGATTAGAGCAGCAGGGGAGGGCAGTTGGGGGCAATCAGGCCAGCAGGGGAGGGCAGTTGGGGGCAATCAGGCCAGCAGGGGAGGGCAGTTGGGGGTGATTGGGCTGGCAGGGGAGGACAGTTGTGGGTGATCGGGCTGGCAGGGGAGGGCAGTTGGGGGTGATTGGGCTGGCAGGGGAGGGCAGTTGGGGGCGATCGGGCTGGCAGGGGAGGGCAGTTGGGGGAAATCAGGCTGGCAGGGGAGCAGTTAGGCATCAATCAGGCCAGTAGGGGAGCGGTTAGGGTGCAATCAGGCTGGCAAGCAGAAGCGCTTAGGGCAGGGGTGGGCAAACTTTTTGACTCGAGGGCCACAATGGATTCTTAAACTGGACCGGAGGGCTGGAACAAAAGCATGGAGTGTTTGTGTGAACTAATATAAATTCAAAGTAAACATCATTACATAAAAGGGTACGGTCTTTTTTTTTTTTTTTTTTTTTAGTTTTATTCATTTCAAACAGGCCAGATCCAGGCTGCGGGCCGTAGTTTTCCCACAGCTGGGTTAGGGGCAATCAGGCAGGCAGGCCGGCGAGCGGTTAGGAGCCAGCGGTCCTGGATTGTGAGAGGGATATTCCAGATTGGAGAGGGTACAGGCCGGACTCAGGGACAACCCCCATCCTGTGCACAAATTTCATGCACCGGGCCTCTAGTATTTAAATAATTAGCAAATGTAGTCTAAATGTTTGCCATGTAACATTGCAAAATTAATTTGACAGTTTTCCTTAATTTTGATATAGTGATGATTGTTTTCATTTTACAATAACAACAACAAAAACTGGATGAGCTAAAGGGCCTTAAGGATTTTAACTTTTAGTTCTAACTTTTCACTCTTAGAATCTTATCTTTGCATCTTATCTGTTTTTTTTCTTACCTAATGTAGACATAAAAATTTATAAAAATCAGCAAGATTCATTTTCATTTTGTTTTGTTTTGTTTTTCTTTTTAAACAAATAGATCTAAATTTTTACACTCTACAACTTTATATCACTTTGACATGGTGATAAATTTGTGGCATCTCTCTTAACTATTTTGTGTAGCTGTAATAGTGTATCAAGCCTGGTTTTCCTTCTTGTGGCAGGAACATTATTATCATACTAGAGGCCTGGTGCACAAAATTTGTGCATGGGGTCCCTAGGCCTGGCCAGCAATCAGGGCCAATCAGATTCCCCGCCTCTCCACCTCAGCACTTCCTCCTTTCCTCGCTGCCTGCACACCACTGCACAGTTCTCTGCCTCCCCACCTCCCCGCCTCCTACTTCCCTCACCACTCGCGTATCCCCACCGCACAGTTCACCCCGCCTCCCCACCTCCCCTCCTCCTCCTTCCCTCACCACTCGTGCCGCCACTGTACGGTCCTCCCCGCCTCTCCACCTCCTCCTTTCCTTGCTCCTTCAGCGCCCCGCCACCGCTGCTGGTCACCCTCCATGTCCCGCGCCGCCCCCTGGTGGTCAGTGCATGTCATAGCGAGCAATCGAACTCCTGGTCTCATGGTCGAACTCCCGAGGGTACACTTTGCATATTAGCCTTTTATATATATAGATACCAGTCCCTTGATACAAGGTGTGGGTTTTCATGGTCTGTTGTTTGAGTTGACCACAGCATCTGGTGGGTAGTTCTGGTGTAGGTGTCTGTGTGGTTTCACAAATGGCTCTCATGAAGTGGACTGGTCTTTCAACCCTGGAGTTTATGAATAGAGAAGTGCTTATTCATGAAGTATAGGCCTCAGTTCAGCTACATTTTTATCTGCATGACTTATTTTTTCTGAGCAAGTATAGGTGGCATTACTTTTGTTGATTTGTTTTTTAAGATAATATAATTTTTCCTACTTTTTGTCTAACTATGGAACTGAATAAGATGCCCTAATTGGAGGCTAGATTTAAGTAAAATAAGATTGCATTATTTTAGATGCTGCTTTATTTAAAAATATTAACTCTGTGAATTCTACCATGAGAATAGATTTTCTGTGCTATAATACTAAATTGAAGATTCTTTTCTATACACAAAGTACTTAGGTTTATCCAAATTAATTAATTGTAAGTTTTGCTTACTTATATCAACTTAACAGTCACTATGTTTTTTCTGATTTCTATTTCGATTCATATTAAAAGCTAAATATCTGTTATTGATCACTTACTGAAACATATCTTTTATAAATATATCTTTATTTTTCATTCATTGTTCTTATTGTGATGAATATATAATTGTATTGAAAATTTTAGCTGACACAAAAAAATCTTATTAACTTTTTCTTTTTTAGGTCATCTAAGTCTCATCCAGGACCTATTGTCCATATAAGTGATAATCCAATGGATGAAGGAAAGGTAGAATTTTTTCTAAAACATATATTTATTAACCTAAATGTATGAATTTTGGTATTTTTTTAATATGCAAACTATTCAAGACACACCTTGCAAAGTTGAGGTTACTAACAAAGGTTATATCCCTTGTTTGTACATTATGAACAACAAGTGAAAGAATTGGAATAATTTACAATTTTAAAGAACAACAACAAAAGAACCCTAAAACAAGTTAAATTTAATAGAAGCAATTAAAGGTTAGTAACTTATTTTTGGCTCATTTAAAATATTTTCCCAGATTTTCTCATAATCCTCACAAAAACTGTTTTCTTTTGGTTTTGAATTCTTTTTAGCACTTTAGTTATACAGTTTTTGTAGCGGTTACTATAAAATCACATGCTAGAGTTGTTTCTATATCTTATCTTCCCTAAATTTGTCTTTATAAATAGATTGTCTGTGGTTGATCTCTCCCCCTTTCCCACACCCTCCTCTGCCTTCCCTCTGAGGTTTGATGGTCTGATCAATGATTCTCTGTCTCTGGTTCTCTTTTTGTCCATCAGTTTATGTTGTTCATTATATTCCACAAATGAGTAAGATCATGTGATATTTATATTTCTCCAACTGATTTATTTCACTTAGCATAATGCCCTCCAGTTCCATCCATGCTGTTGGAAATGGTAGGAGTTCCTTTTTATAGCAGCATAGTATTCCATTGTGTAGATGCACCACAGTTGTTTAATCTACTCATCTGCTGATGGGCACTTAGACTGTTTCCAAATCTTAGCTATTGTAAATTGTGCTGCTATGATCATAGGGATGCATATATCCTTTCTGACTGGTGTTTCTGGTTTCTTGGGATATATTCCTAGAAGTGGGATCACTGGGTCAAATGGGAGTTCCATTTTTAGTTTTTTGAGGAAACATACTGGCTGCACCAGTCTGCATTCCCACCAGCAGTGCACGAGGGTTCCTTTTTCTCCGCACCCTCACCAGTACTTGTTTGTTGATTTGTTGATGATAGCCATTCTGACAGGTGTGAGATGGTACCTCGTAGTTTTGATTTGCATCTCTTGTATGATTCGTGACTTTGAGCATGTTTTCATATGTCTCTTGGTCTTCTTTAGAAAAGTATCCGTTGCCTATTTTTTGATTGGGTTGTTTATCTTCCTTTTGTTAAGTTGTATATATTCCCTGTAATTTTTGGAGATTAAACCCTTATTGGAGATAACATTGGTAAATATGTTCTCCCATGCATTGGGCTTTCTTGTTGTTTTATTGATGGTTTCTTTTGCTGTGCAGAAGCTTTTTATTTTGATGTAGTCCCATTTGTTTATTTTCTCTTTAGTTTCCATTGCCCTAGGACAGTGATGGCGAACCTATGACACGCGAACTCATTTTTTTGGTTGATTTTTCTTTGTTAAATGGCATTTAAATATACAAAATAAATATCAAAAATATAAGTCTTTGTTTTACTATGGTTGCAAATATCAAAAAATTTCTATATGTGTCACGGCACCAGAGTTAAGTTAGGGTTTTTCAAAATGCTGACACACCGAGCTCAAAAGGTTCGCCATCACTGCCCTAGGAGCTGTATTGGTGAAGATATTGCTTCGGCATATGTCTGAGATTTTGCTGCCTGTGGATTCCTCTAAGATTTTTATGGTTTCCCGTCTTATGTTTAAGTCCTTTATCCATTTTGAGTTTATTTTTGTGTATGGTGTAAGTTGGTGGTCTAGTTTCATTTTTTTGCACGTATCTGTCCAATTTTCCCAACACCATTTATTGAAGAGACTGTCGTGATTCCATTGTATGCTCTTCCCTCTGTCAAATATTAATTGAGCATAGTGGTTTGGGTCGATTCCATTAGTCTATATGTCTGTACTTGTGCCAGTACCAGGCAGTTTTGAGAACAGTGTCTTTGTAATACAGCTTGATATCTGGTATATGAGATACCTCCTACTTTGTTCTTCTTTCTCAGGATTGCTCTAGCTATTCGGCGCCTTTTTTTATTCCAGATGAATTTTTGGAGAGTTCGTTCTAGGTCTGTGAAATATGCCATTGGTATTTTAATGCGGAGTGCATTGAATCTATAGATTGCTTTGGGGTGAGGGCACAAGTGAGGGGTGGGTGGGCAATGGGGGGATAAGGACTCATATGTAATACCTTAATCAATAAAGAAAAAAAAAAGAAAAAAATTTCAATTGACTATACTTTCCAAATGAAAAAAAAATTGTGAGAAGAAAAAAAATAGCTTAGATTAATAATGTAGAAATTTTTTAAAAATTTATTTAAGTTTTTATACTCAGAAACCAGTTTTATGCAAGCAATATCTAGCTATTGTTATTTTATTTTTGTTAAATATATTTAAAGATAATAAAAATTCCTTTTCCATGAATTTCTACTTCCTAATCCAACCAATCTTTCAGGTAGTTCTATTTAAAGATAGAATGTCTGTATATAAATTTATGATGTTAACCTATGTAAAATACCAGGAAATTTGTCACTATCAGAAATCAGTGAAATGAAATTTAGAAATTTTGTGAAGAACTTTTCCCAGGTTTTTCCTTTCCTCAATTAGTGGGAGTGGTCAAGCCTATAGGTTGTTTAACACTGTTCTCTTATTTGTCACTGGGAAAACAAAGGGTAGCTGTACTATTTGGAGTTAGCTTATATTAATATATAAAATTGTATGTTTTGAGAGAAACTACATGAAGCACGTTACAGTAACCTGTATCTTCACTTTTTTTACTTTGGTACAGATACTTGTTTGAAAGGCAAGCCTTTGGGTGAGAGGCAGGGTGGGAGAATTGAAAACTTTCCCTCCTTCTACTTTGAATTGGTCACTAAATCATTTAAATCCTTCTTTTGCAGTGTCTCTTTTTTATTACATATCATTAGGGCCAAGGTAGTTAAAGGCATTCTAGCTCATTCTTGAATCATTTCGTGATCAATCTTCCTAGAGTGCCATTTTAATCTTACTACTCTCCTGTTCAAAAGCTTTCAGTGGTTGTACAGAATCTAACAAAAAGAGTTTCTTTAACGGTAGCTTTGGGCTTCATTATCTTTCAGAACATCTTTACTGGAATGCTATACTGAAGCAAATAATTATTGTTTCTCATTTGTGAGTGCTCTTTGCTGCCTCCATGCTTTGTTTATGTGAGTCCCTCTGTTTGGAATTCTTTTAGGTAGGTCTATTTAATGATATTCTCTCTCCAATGAATTACTACCCTCATTTAAAAAACATTTTTTTTTTATTATCGATGATTTTTAGAGAGAGAGGAAGGGAGAGGGAGAGACGGAAACATCAACAAGAGAGAGACATCATCAGTTGGCTGCCTCCTGCACGTACCCCTCTAAGGACCAAGCCTGCAACTGAGGCATGTGCCCTGACTAGGAATCCAACAGGCTACCTCTCCGTTCGTGGATCAGTGCTCAACCACTGAGCAACACTGGCTGGTTCCTACCCTCATTTTAAGACTCAGATTAGATAATTTTTTTCATATTTTCCCAGATAATTCTGAAAGAAAATGCTTTCTCCCACTTCTAAATTCGCTAGCACCTTATTTGTGTAAGCTTTACAGTATTTACCACATATTGCCTTGGATTATAAATGTGTGTATATGTGAACTCGAAAAAACTTCGTGAACACAGAGATAATATTTATGCAGATTTATATTTCACATATGCTCAAAATATAGTGTAAATAGTAACTGCTCAATATAATCTTAATTCATTGCGAAAATAAATTATGTATAACTGTGTATATCATCCTCACTTTTTGAAACTTGCATTATATTAATTCTCCTTAGTTCCTGAAGCTAATCTCATTCAACATTTTGAAATATTAAGATGCTAGAATAGATTATATTGACTGTCATTTATTGAATTTTACTTTGTGTCAGGCACTATGCTGACACATTATATACACTGTTTCATTTGATCCTCCCAGCAAATTTAAGTGAGATATCTTCCTTGTTTTACAGATGATCAGGCAGAAATTTTAAGGTATTATGTGGTCAAAAGATACAAAGTTAGATATTGGTGGAGCTGGGATTTTGAACACTGATTTCTCTGATTTCAACTCCAGAGTCCTCTCCATTGTACTGTATTTTCTCTGTAAGATATAGATCAGTTATTGATGTAGAGAGCTGTATGCATAGTCAGTATATGCACTGATGCTTTTTATGAGAGAACTAGAGGCCCGGAGCATGAATTAGTGCACCAGTGGGGTCCCTTGGCCTGGCTTGTGGGATCAGGCCAAAAACTGCTCTCCGACATCCCCCGAAGGGTCCCCGATTGAGAGAGGGTGCAGGCCAGGCCGAGGAACCCCACCAGTGCCGATCGGGGCTGGGTAGAGATGCGGGAGGTTGGCCAGCTGGGGAGGGACCACGGGAGTGCTCCAGGGCGTGTCCAGCCTGTCTTGCTCAGTCCCAATCAGCCAGACCCCAGCATCGAGCTAACCTACCAGTCGGAGTGTCTGCCCCCTGGTGGTCAGTGCATGTCATAGCAACTGGTTGACCAGTCTACTGTCTGCCCCATGGTGGTCAGTGCACATCATAGTGAGCGGTTGAGCGGCCTTAGCATGTCATTAGCTTATTCTCACTTTGATTGGTTGAATGGCTGACCGGTCAACCGGACACTTAGCCTGTTAGGCTTTTATTATATAGAACTAGAGGCCCGGTGCACAAAAACTTGTGCACTCGGGGGGCGGGAGGAGGGGGGTCCTCCAGCCCGGCCTGTGCCCTCTCGCAGTCTGGGACGCCTCGGGAGATAACGACCTGCTGGCTTAGGCCTGCTCCCGGGTGGCAGAGGGAAGGCCCAATCCCTAAGTGCAGCCCCTGGTCAGGCTCAAAGCAGGGCCGATTGGGGAGTTGGGGCGCCGCCCCGTCATGCACAGAGCAGGCGGATTGGGAAGTTGCAATGCCACCCTCAGTCACGCTCAGGGTAGGGCCAATTGGGGGATTAGGGCACCGCCCCCTGTCACACTCAAGGCAGGGTCGATGGGGAGGTTGCGGCGCCACCCTCTGTCACGCACAGAGCAGGTTCAATCAGGGGGTTGGGGCGCTGCCCCCTGTCACTCACAGAGCAGGGCGCATCAGGGGGTTGGGGAGCTCCCCCGTCACGCACAGAGCAGGGCCGATCAGGGGGTTGAGGAGCTCCCCCCTGTCACTCACAGAGTAGGGCCGATAGGGGAGTTGGGGCACCGCCCCCTGTCACACACAGAGCAGGGGGGATCAGGGGGTTGGGGCACTGCACCCTGTCACACTCAGGGCAGGGCCAATGGGGAGGTTATGGCTCTACCCTGTCACACACAGAGCAAGGCCCGTGGAGGGGGGTTGGGGCGCCACCCTCTATCACCCACAGAGCAGGGCCGATCAGGGGTTGGGGCGCCACCGCTGTCACACTCGGGGCAGGGCCGATGGAGAGGTTATGGCTCTACCCTGTTACACACAGAGCAGGGCCCGTGGTGCGGGGGAGGGGTTGGGGCGCCGCACCCTGTCACACACAGAGCAGGGCCGATCAGGGGGTTGGTGCGCTGCACCCTGTCAAACACAGAGCCCCAGGGCAATCGGGATTGGGGAGCTCCCCCCTATCAGGCACAGAGCAGGGCAGATAGGGAGGTTGTGGCCCCGCCCCCCGTCACACATAGAGCCGCAGGGCGATCAGGGGGTTTGGGCGCTGCCCCCTGTCACGCTGATCCCGGTGCAGGGAGCCTCGCTGCTCCACTGATCCCGGTGCCAGGAGGCATATTACCCTTTTACTATATAGGATAGAGGCCTGGTGCATGGGTAGGGGCTGGCTGGTTTGCCCTGAAGGGTGTCCTGGATCAGGTTAGGGGTCCCCACTGGGGTGCCTGGCCAGTCTGGGTGAGGGGCTGAGGGCTGTTTTCCGGAAGCGAGTGACTGAAGCTCCCAACCACTCCTTGTTTTCTTTTTTTTTTTTTTTATTCTGGGCCAGCTTTAGCTCTCGCTCTAGCTCTGAGGCTTCTGCTGCTGAGTGTTCTATAATGGAAACAATGTATAACTCCAGCTCTTAGATCTGAAAGCTGGTTTCTGGGGTTTTGTTTATCTTCTATATTTGTTACAAAGTTTCAAACTTACGGCTCAGAGGCCGGCAAGTCAGGCGGGAACGTTGCAGTCTGCAGTCACTGAAGCAAGCAAGCCTCATGTTCGCTTCCAGCTGCCTGGCTGCCGGCTGCCATCTTGGCTGACAGTTAATTTGCATGTACTCACTGATTAGCCAATGAAAAGGGTAGCGGTCGTACGCCAATTACCATGTTTCTCTTTTATTAGTGTAGATAATTAAAAGGAAACTATTCAACACTACATAAATTACTTAACATCTCTGAGTTATAAAATATTTTAGTAGGAATAAGCATTGAAAGAATCTTCTAAGCAAGTTTAACATGTTAAGCGCCCAGCCTTATTGTCTTCCGGACAGAAAGTATAGTGTCAGACTGGGTGCTTAACGTGTTAGGTACTGTACTTTTAAGTTAGCCCCTCTATTTTTTAATATTTAGGAAATTATGGGGATTAAAGTCTAACCGGTTGGCACAGATTTCTTAGTTTCTTAGGATGTTAGATATGACTCGAAGGGTTAACGTTTATTATAACCCTTTTATGCTTCTAAGATGTGGAGGGGTAACATTATTAAAGTTACATGGCTACTAAATGGCACATCTGAGAGCTTAGTGCTGAACAATCTAGTGCTGTTTACACTGTACATCAATTCTTAAGTTTTATCTTTTTTCGTCTCTTTTTATTTCTGAAGTTTTCTTCCCCCATCAGAAAGTGACATAATCACATATCCAAGATATTTAGAAGGACTAGGAAAAGGTAAAGGAAACAAATACTAGTTTTTCCTTGAAAGTGTATATATATATATATAACGTAGCCTGGGAAAAAAGTGTTTGGGTTACAGAAATTAACTATACTCCCTACCATGGTGGGAAAACCTCTTTTGTAAGCCTCAATGACTGGCTCCTACAAATGCACTGTAGTCTGAAATCTACTAAATTGCTATTTCATTAAAATTACTGGTTCTTCCCCAAACTTTGTTCATATCTCAGATTACATGAATGGTTATCAACTACCTACTAATTACTTATGCATTCATTAAACAACTAGTTGAGTGTCTAACATGTATTAGGCCGCTATTAGAGACATATAGATGAAATGCATGTACTAGTATAGGAGTTGTTGCATTTCTGCTTTTCTAGAGGAATTGGGTAGGCTTACCCAAGGAAGCAACTAAACTGATACTTAAAAATGAGTAGAACATTTTATAAAAGGGGGAGGAGCTTTAAGCAGAGGGAATACTGAAATTTGGAAAATACTAGGTCAGTGATGGCAAACCTGTGACACGCGAACTCATTTTTTTGGTTGATTTTTCTTTGTTAAATGGCATTTAAATATATAAAATAAATATCAAAAATATAAGTCTTTGTTTTACTATGATTGCAAATATCAAAAAATTTCTATATGTGACACGGCACCAGAGTTAAATTAGGATTTTTCAAAATGCTGACACGCCAAGCTCAAAAGGTTCGCCATCACTGTACTAGGTGGACAGCAGAAGTTGGATAAGCAGCGGACAGTTTATAAGGCAAGAACATGCATTCCATTCTGAAATTTACTCATTCACGAAGATTTATTAAGTATCTACAATGGATCAGTCCCTGTGTCTTACGTTAGAAGTACAGTGGTGAATAAGATAAAATTAATCCTTCCTTAAATAGACCAGTGTCATTGTCTGAAAGAGAATTCAGATAAGACAAGGGCCATTCTTATATTGTGTGGTGACCCTTCAGATTAAAAATAGTACAGAGTACTGTTGGAGCACATAGGAAAGGCATTGACTTACATTTGGTAGGTCAAGGAAGGCTTCACAGAGGAAGTGAGTGATAGCTCAGAGGATATCTGAAGAGTTAGTAGGAGGATTAGTCTGGCAGAACATGACATTCAAGTAGAGTGGCCCAGGTAGAAAGACAGCATGTGCAAAGGCTCCAAGGTAAGAGAGAGCATGAGCTAAAAGATGGACTGGAGTGTATTGGGTACTAAGTGTGTGGTAATGGATAAAGCTGGAGAGGTAAGCAGAAGACAGACCATGATGAATTTTGTAAGTCATATTTAGTTTGGACTTTATCCTAAAAAAGTTTTAAATAAAAGCACATATGACATGATCAGGTTTGCATTTTAGAACTATTACTCTAACTACAATATGGAATGGGTTAAAAAAGGGGCAAGACTTGGAATCAGGTAGAGTAAGAGACCAGAAAAGAGATCTTTGTGTCTTATTTTCCAGTTATAGTTGACATACAGTATTATATCCACTTAGTTTCAGGTGTACAACATAGTAATTCGACATTTATATACATTATAAAGTGATCATCCCAGAGATTTTGTGTCTTGGAGTAAGGTATTGGAGGTGGAGGAAAGTAAGTTAGAGAGATGATAGAATGTAATTTTAAAATTATTTGATGATTTTACCTGATGGGGTTGGGGGGAACCAGAGTTAACATGACCCCCAGAGTTTTGTCTGAGCAACTTAATGAATGTTGAAATAAAAATGGTGAGAGAGACACTGCAACCAGAGAATACCAGAGGAGGATAGGGAAGAAAATAATGAATTCACTTTGGACACATTTACTTTGAGGTTCGTCTTGAGTAGATAAGTGGAGATGTGGCCACTGGAATTATGAGTCTAAATCTCATGAGAAGGATCTAGGCTGGATATAATTTAGAACTAATTAATATGTAGATAAATAAATGAGATTACCTGATAATATGTTGAATTAGGAAAGTTTGTGAACTTTAAAGCACGTACAAATGTTAACTTGTATTGCTAATTTATTATAGTAATTAAAATGTACACTGAGGACTTCAAAATGGTAATTTTCTTTCTCAAAAAACTTGTATGATATACATTGAGTCCCTAATCATAAAATGCATATAAATATGAAATATAGTATTCTCATTTGTGATCTCTATGATTAGTAATTAGCAATGCAGATGTTTAATTATATTATAATTTTATATTGGATGCATATTAATGATAATTGTTATCTTGTCAGAAAATAAATGCTTCATATGATTACTACCATTCCTAGGTAATGTGGCGTTTTCTTTTATTACAGCTTTTGATTGGCTTTGAATCTGGAACAGTAGTTTTATGGGACCTCAAATCAAAAAAAGGCGACTACAGATACACATATGATGAGGTAATAACGTTTTTGTTAATCAAAAGATGTCATTTCTCTAGTTCAGAGCAGCTTTTCTAAGAACTTGCTGATTTTAGTTTAGGCAATCTTTATAACTGCAATAAAACACACCACATTTTTTTCTATAATAGATAATATATTCACGTAGCTCAAAAGATATAAAAAAAAAATCTCTTTCTCACCCCTGTCATCTGGCCATTCAATTCTTTTACCCCAGGTACTAGTGTTACCAATTTTTCATGTATTTTTGCAGAGTTATTCTATACATTTACAAGCCAATTAATAAACATTGTATTTTTATCTTATACAAATGATTGTAATATGCTGTAGACCAAGCATGTCAAACTCAAAGGCTAACACCAGCCAAATAAACAAGATTTATGTTTATGTGGGTTGCAAAAAAACAAAAGCTTCAAATTTGTTTTAAATACATTCTTATTGATTTCAGAGAGGAAGGGAGAGGAAGAGAGAGAGAGAGAATCATTAATAATGAGAGAGAATCATTGATCAGCTGCTCAGCTGCCTCCTGCATGCCTTCCACTAGGGATCAAGTCGGCAACCCAGGCATGTGCTCTTGAACCTGGAACCTTTCAGTCCGCAGGCCGACACTATCCATTGAGCCAAATTGGCTAGGGCAAAAGCTTCAATTTTCATAGAAACGTAGGTTTACTTCGAAAGAGACATGCTGAATACAAAGGGCTGAAATAAATGAGTAATCGTTCATGTAAAATAATAGAACATTTTAATAAAAATTAATATTTTTTTCTTGAACATTAACTTACCAGACATTGAATAACTGCATAAATTAATAAGCGTAATGCAAATAAACCTATTTTTCTTGTTCTCCAAAAGCAAAATATTTCCTGTTGCGCACACCAAACAAGTCAGTACAAGATTAACGAATGACATGGGAATCAGCTGCAGAAATATTCGCTGCTAGTATTAGTGGAGAGAAATGGTGCGCCTGCGTGTAAGACGCATAAGGGAAATGAATGCAATACGATTATAGTAATCAGTCATTAGTGAACTTTGTAGTTTGTTATTAATACTAGAGGCCCGGTGCATGGATTTGTGCACTGGTGGGGTCCCTCAGCCTGGCTTATGGGGATTGGGCCGAAACCAGCTCTCTCCCACATCCCCCGAGGGGTCCTGGATTGTGAGAGGGCAGTTCATGGGTGACGCACCCCAGAATTGGGCTCCCTCCTCTCTGGTTCCGGGTGCGTCACCCAAGAACCACAGCTACCAATTAACCGCAGCTTGGAAGCTCCTGCATTGAGCGTCTGCCCCCTGGTGGTCAGTGCACATCATAGTTACCAGTCGGACAGTTGCTTAGGCTTTTATATATATAGATTATGTATAACAGAATATTGTAAAAACTAACTTATGAAATTTTTATTAAAACTTTTCTTATATACTGTTACATTGGCTGGGCCATTTGACATGCTTGCTGTAGACATTTATTGTTGGTTGTTTGAAGACGCACATATGGACCGATAATTCATTCAGTGCTCTAAGCACTTACCTTATTATTTGATTATGTGAGAATAATAAACAAAACTAGACTTTTTCAGTATTGATATCCAAGTCTACATAATAAAAGTAATTCTTTTAAGTCTCTTTTAAACTGTAGACCTCTCCTCCCTCTTTTTTTTTAAAATATATTTTTATTGATTTCAGAGATGAAGGGAGAGAGAGAGAGAAATAGAAACATCAATGATGTGAGAGAATCATTGATCGCTGCCTCCTTCATGCCCCCTACTGGGGATGGAGCCCACAACCCGGGCATGTGCCCTTGACTAGAATCGGACCTGGGATCCTCCAGTCCACAGGCCGATGCTCTATCCACTGAGCCAAACCAGCTAGGGCTCTCTTCTCTTTTACTTCCTTACCTCATTTCTTCTTTTTTTGCCATTTGTTGTAGATAGTCTCCCAAAGAATGAATTTTTCTGGCTGCATGCTATTGTGTTTAACCTATTTTTAACCCTCATATATCCTATAAATTGGATAGTTTACTGAGACTTGATTAAACTCAGGTTCATTTTTCACTTTTAGCAAGATTACTTTATAGATAATGCTGTTGCTCTTCTATCCGGTGGAATGTTAGTTTGTGTGATATTAGAAGTCAGTGACATTTAAGGTCTAGATATATTACTACAGAGTGGTAATTCATGCCTGTTTAAAATCTTAATAGAGAAAAAAACTGTAAATCACTTAATATTCAATATGTAATTTATCAACTATCTTACAAAATATATTTTTCAGTAATTATCATGTTCAGTTATACAGTATTACTGCTGTCTCCCATCTGTAGTGGAAATATTGAAATGTTTAAAAGTTAAGATGCTAGGGCCAAAACTGTACAATTTAATGGATTATTCATAGATTCAGGAAATAATTCATTCAGTGCTCTAAGCACTTACCTTATTATTTGATTATGTGAGAATAATAAACAAAACTAGACCTTTTTCAGTATTGAAATCAGTCTACATAATAAAAGTAATTCTTTTTATTTTATCATTTTGTTCATATTTTTCTAAGGGTTTTAGCTTCAGTATATGATTAACACTAGGAATCAATGTTGCTTTTGAATTGAATATTGAATAAATTTATTTTCTAGGAGAACAGAAATTGTTTTTTGTGTAAGTCTGCTAAAATGTTAATCAGTATATATATAATGTAAGAGCAGCTATACCACGATGTATAAAACTTAGTGTTAAGTGATTCTAATAATACTGATTAATTTTCAAAACCAGCAGGTAGGGAATTTATTTAATTTATCTTTATTTTGAGTTAGTGAGTATAAAATTTGATAAATAGCCAGTTCTCTTTCTAGAATATTATTTTTCAAGATGCCCTCTTATTTTATATGAATAGGAGAAAGTATCATATGTACTACTTTTATCAAGCCAAATAATTAGATATTACTTTCTAAAGAATGTCTCAGAGTAGACAGTTCTTTGTTTTTTTTAAATATTATCAAGTATAAAAAACTGAGGTTCTTAATTTATTCACTGCTTCATGAGCGTTTTTATAGTTAAGATTTTTGTTTTGTTAGACAGTACATCTTTTAAAGAACTTTTGGAATTTTATATACTGCTCCTTTGTGGCTTATTCCAATAGCTATATCATCTTACCTCCTTTTCTCCATTTTTTGCCCTCTACCCTGAATTCATCTTTTCCAACAACTTTTGAACATCTCATTTATTTGCTTTTCTCCTTTCCATTTATTCTGCCCTTGAGCTCTTTCCTTATCCGTTTCTCTTAATCATTTCTATCTCTAGTTTTCTATTTTATCTTTTCAAAATCAAGTTACCTGTTTAGAATCTCCTGAAAATTTTATATTCTCTTGGAGAAAAAAAAAAGCCAACTTACACTCAAAATTTCTCAACCCCACGTAATCCTTTTAACTTTATATCTCATATCTTCTCCAATGAATTATTCAGATTTGCTCCAAATTAATCTTTTAATTCTGAGCATGTGACAGATTTGGTTAATGAGATTTGTTATTTCTATTTTGTTAACATAAGTTACTACTTCATTTTCCTAAGAACACTAATGAAAAGGTATAATTGTATGATTTATACATATACTAGGGCCCGGTGCATGAATTCATGCATGGGTGGGGTCTGGCCGCCCGCCCCGAATGGGGGCCAATTGAGGCTGGGCCAGCACGGGGGAGGAGATGCAGGAGGTTGGCCGACTGGTCAGCCCCAGATCGGGGTGGGAAAGCTGATTGGGGCCAGGCCGGCCAGGGGGAGGGGCCATGAGAGGTTGGCCGGCCCCACCCCTGTTCGGGGTTGTGGGGGTTGATCAAGGGCTGGGCCGGCCTGGGGGAGGGACCGCGGGAGGTTGGGGGGCAATCAGGGCCCCTGTCGGGCTGGTTGGCCACCGCAATGCGAGTCATAGTGACCGGTCCAGTTGCTTAGCTTTTATACATATAGATAATTTATGTGGCATTTATTATACACATAAACATACATACATACATAAAATACTATATATACTACATAAGAATATATAATATATAATAACCCCTGGACAGTGGGTTATTAGCAATGGTTAGAGTGTCGGCTCCCAGACCAAAGGGTTGAGGGCTTGATTCCAGGTCAAGGGCGTGTACCTGGGTTGCAGGTTTGATCCCCAGTCCCAGTAAGGGGCCCATGCAGGAGGCAGCCAATTGATGTGTCTCTCTCACATCAATGTCTCTCTCTTTCTCTCTCTCTCTCTCTCCCCCCCCTTCTCTTTCCAGCCCTCCCTCCCTCTCTCTCTTTCTAAAAAAAATCAATGGAAAAAATATCCTGGATTGAGGATTAGCAAAAAATAAAATAATTTAAAAGAACCCTAGCTGGTTGCTCAGTGGATAGAGTGTTGGCCTGCAGACCCAAGGGTCCCAGGTTCAATTTTGGTCAAGTGCATGCACCTCAGTTGTAGGCTCCTGCCCGGCCTGGGCCCTGGTCAGGGCACGTGCAGGAGGCAACCAGTCGTTGTGTTTCTCTCACATCGATATTTTTCTCTCTTTCCCTCTCTCTTCCACTCTCTCTAAAAATCAATGGAAAAATATCCTAAAGTGAGGATTAAAAAAAAATTAAAGTAATATATAATAAAAACTTATACATATACTTATGTACATACATATGTAACATGTAGTATTATATGTAATGGCACTAGAGCGAGAGTATTAGAAACAATGAGCTCATGTATAAGTTGGATTTGTATTTAGAAAATTGCAGAAATAATAGAAAAACTTGTTCATGTTTATTGCATATAAAGTTCATTATGTTTTTTTCTTTAATGAGGTATTTTCTGTAATATTTTTCTCATTGTTATCCAGAATAATTGGGAACCACTTGTCGCTGCAATTAGTATTTATTTTGGAATGTTTAATAATTTACTGTCTTAATAAATAAAAAGTACTTTTTAATAAAGATGTATTTTGTTTTCTTTGGCAAGTTAAAAGTATTAGTTTTCCATCTATTTATATAAAAGCCTAAGCGACCGTTATGAGGGACGACCAGAATGACCGGTCACTATGACACTCACTGACCACCAGGGGGAAGATGCTCAACACTGGAGCTGCCCAAGCCCGCAGGTCCCGATTGCCAATGGGGCCTGCTGGCAAACCTTACAGTCCCTTCCCCTGGCTGAGCACCTGGGATGGGACGGGGAACTGGGAGTGGGTGGCGGCGGACATGGCCCCTTTCCCAGGGTGGCCAATGGCCAAATCCCTCCTCGGGGCCAGTGGCCAACCTTCCAGGTCCCTCCCTCTGTCCCTCCCCCAGCTGGCAGGCCACGATCGGCCCGCAGCCCTCCCGCCCAGCTACAGTGGTGGCGGTTGGCCCCTCTCCCAGCCAGCAGGTCCCAATCACCTGATCGGGCCTGCCAGCCAACCTCCTGGTCCCTCCCCCCAGCTGGCAGGTCCCAATTGCCCAATTGGGGCTGGGCCCTGGGCTGGGACGGAGAACCAGAGGTGGGTGACAGTGACGTAGGCAGCGAGGGAAGGAGGAGATGGAGTGGCGAGGAAAGGAGGAGGCAGTGAAGTGAGGAACTGTGCGGTGGCGGCATGCGGGGCAGCGAGGGAAGAAGGAGGCTGAGAGGCAGGGAACCTGATTGGCCACGATCGCCAGCCAGGCCTAGGGACCCCACCCATGCATGAATTTGGTGCACCGGGCCTCTATACATAATATGTTTATGAAAATGTACATATTAACATACTAGAGGCCCATTGCACAAAATTAGTGCACTTGGGGTGGGGGTCCCTTAGCCTAGCCTGTGCCTTCTCGCAGTCTGGGAGCCCTCAGGGGATGTCCAACTGATGGCTTAGGCCATCTCCCCGTGAGCCTGGCTTCTGGCTGAGCAGTGCTCCCCTTGTGGGGGTGCACTGACCACCATGGGGCAGCTCCTGCATTGAGCGCCTGCCCCCTGGTGGTCAGTGCGCATCATACTGACCGGTTGTTCTGCTGTTCGGTCAGTTTGCATATTAGCCTTTTATTATATGGGATATACATAATTAGAATTTTTTTTAATTTATTGGTTGCAGACATCACTGTAGATCTATCTTGTATTTCCCTTATCACTTTAAAAAATAAATTTAAATAGCTTTGTGAATAGCTTCTTACCACTACTCATATGTTGCAGAAATGATTTATTTTTAAGAGATTGCTTATCTTAAGATTTGGTTTGTGGAATTTCATATGTATTTTGGAATGAATTTATCACTGTTTTAAGTTTTTATTTAGAATATTTTAGAGATACTTTACTTTTAAAGAAATATATTTTTATTGATTTCAGAGAGAAAGGGAGAGAGAGACATCAATGATGAGAGAGAATCACTGATTGGCTGCCTCCTGCACACCCCCTACTGGGGATTGAGCCCGCAGCCTGGGCATGTGCACTTGACTGGAATTGAACCCAGGACCTCTCAGTCCACAGGCCAACGCTCTATCCACTGAGCCAAACCAGCTAGGGCTAGTAGGGTAGCTTTTAAAGTCAATTGAATATTAAGAACAGTAGTGTATCAACTTGAGCTGAACAGAAGTAATTTAAAGAACCTAGAAGAGTGATAAAAATATTTTTTACAGGAAAAAAATTAAATAATATTAGGACAAAAAAATGGAAGGGAAACATATTTGGTTATATAAAAATATTTTAATGATAATTTTTAAGTGCCTTAAAGTTATAAAATAAATTTCTAGTCAAAAGGGGGTCTCTTCAGATTTTAAAAATTGCTTCAGTACTTACTGTGAGAAATGAATAACATGTTTAAAAGGTCAACTTGAGATATTTTTAATTGATCTTAATTATAAAACCTAGAAATTTATTTTCTTAGAAATTTAGTTAATTTAAAAAATTTGTTCTATGTCAGTACAACTAGTTATTCCATGAAATATTGGTTGTAATTACTTACTTGGTCATTTGTTTAGGTATAGTTTATTCTAAGAAAGTATAAAAATAGCCCTAAACGGTTTGAGCCTGTGGACTCAAGGGTCCCAGGTTCAATTCCGGTCAAGGGCATGTATCTTGGTTGCAGGCACATACCCAGTAGGGAGTGTGCAGGAGGCAGCTGATCGATGTTTCTCTCTCATTGATGTTTCTGACTCTCTATCCCTCTCCCTTCCTCTCTGTAAAAAATCAATAAAATATATTTTAAAAAAAAGAAAGTATAAAAATACATTTTGTTTTTCTGAACTTAAAATTTTATTTTTACATTTATATAACTACTATAGCTTCCTTATGCTGGTTTAGGGAGTAAATAAAGTAAAAACAGTCAAAATAGTGTCAATACTAAATTCTCATTTGTATTGCTAGAAAATTAAATTACTATGGGAATGTAAAGTTAACATATTGTCTTCAGTTTTGGAAATATAAAAAAAAAATTTTTGTTCTACATTTGCTTTATTTTTTTAATTTTCATTGTTGAAAGTATTACATATGTAATCCCCCATTGGTCCCCATTGACTAAGTTCTTTAATTTATCTCTTCCCACCCGCCCAACCACGCCTTCCCTCTGAGATTCAAAAATTAATTACAATACCAATTATGAGTAGCTTGATGTTTAAATAAATTTTTATTTTTAAAAATGGAATTGTGCATCCCTTTTCTATAGGCTATCCACTCTGTGGCTTGGCATCATGAAGGAAAACAATTTATTTGCAGTCATTCCGATGGCACCTTGACTATATGGAATGTGAGGTCCCCTACTAAACCTGTACAGACAATCACTCCACATGGTAAGAATGTATCACTTTAAACACTACCTAAATTGTGATGGACAATAAACTGTTTTGTGTATGCATTTGGTTTGTTTTTCTGTTTCTTTATGAGGAAAAGGATGGGTTTAATTTGGCTGGAATTAGAAATAATTAGACATACAGAAAAATATATAGCAACCATGTAATAAAATCTCAAATTAACTATACTTATAGTTAAAATAGCTAATTTGAACTTTGAGAAAATGAATGTTAAATTATCTTTTGAATATTGTTTTAATAGTAGTTCAAAAAGTAAATAATTTTGTGAGTCATATAGGGCTTACTTTAAGCTTCTGTCATCTTAAAGTAATCAATTTACAAGTTGTTAATGTATATATAACAATTCATTGAAATACTTGGAACTTTGCAGAAGGAATTTTATACATTAAAGTAGTGTAGAGGTACCCGAACATTACCCCAGGTTTGATGATTCACTAGGAAAACTCACAGGACTCAGCAAAATGATGCAAAACAAAATAAGTATACAAAAGGCACATGGGGTGAAATCTGAAGGTCCAGTGGGGTCACATGCGACATGGTTTATTCCCCTAGCAAAGAGTTATCACAAGTCTGAAATGTTTTCTACCAGCGAGGCTCCAGCGTTCAGTTGCCCAGAGTTTTTATTGGAGTCACTTCATAGGCACCTTCTACTTTAGCACATACCAAAATTACGGACTCCCACGAGGAAAGCAGGGATTCATCATAAACTACATTATTTGTACGGACAACTCAGGCACAGTGTGCCACTCTTCAGTCTGGGAAGTGGTTAAGAGCTGACTCAAAAGCTTAGTGATCAGATGCCAACAAGCCAACACATCTAGAGATAACCGACTCAGGCCTACTATATTAACTCTTTTCTGCACAAATAGTATTTACAAAACCTAAAAGTAGATTTTATTGCAGGGTTTGTTAAAAACTGATTTGAGTTTTGGGTGGAGCAGAGGAATTTGTATGTCTTTATTTTTCTGCATTCTTTAACCCCATCTTAAGAAATTCTTACCCAGCAAATTCAGGGAAATCATATTAAAGAAACTGCTTTTTAAAAATTGTAGTATATTGAAAAATATATTTGTAGATATTGCCAATATTTAATTGCTTGCTTTAAAATAGGAATACCTACTTTTTAAAAAATTGGTACATTCTGAAATATTACAATGTAGAAATTAAACAGTAAAATTTAAAACATTTTATCTAGCTGTGGCAGAATTCTTGAAGCTACATATTGTGATCTACTTTACCACTGCTTTGTGGTAGCAGGCATCTTTCTGGAAAAGCACATATTTTAAACTTGCTACAGATCTATTTGTACATGTATCCAGAGGATAGCCTGAATGGTAATAGGTTCCATTTTTCCTTAATATATTTTCTTTCTTCCTTCTGTTAGTGCCTAGTCTCTAATCTTGGTAGTACTTTTGAAAATTCTCATAAATCTTGTGCTTTCCCAAGCCCACTGGAACCTTGTTCTCCAAAAAAAAAAAAAAAAAAAAAAAAAAACAACCCCAAAAATAGATGATTATTTTAGAAACCTGTCAGATCCAGAGGAAAATGGGACTAGTATTGAAAATGGTAAAAATAATTAATATTAGTTTTTCAGTTTGGTAAGAATAGTACAAACATATTTTTTGAACCATTCCAGAGGAAATTGTTAAATTACTGCCCATTCGTTCCCAAATATTCCAATATATATTTCTTACACTACTGCATTTTCCTGTATCACCAAGGTTTGCCTTTTATCAAATGGATCTATATGTAAATTAGATTTAGTTGTCATGTTTCTTTGGTCTTCTTCAATCTGGAACCGTTTTTTGAGCCTTTTCTTGACTTTCATAATTGATAAATTTTAAATATTACATGGATAAGTTATTGTGTAGAATATACTTCAATTTGTTGTGTGTGTTTTTTTTTATGTTTCTTCATGATTGGATTCAAGTAGTACATTTTCAGTAGGACTATCCCAGAAGGATTGATGTGTTCTTTTTGTATCCTGTACCAGAGGTTAAATACTGGATATATATTGCCCTTGATTTGATTTGATTTGTCCCTATTGGTGTGATCTCTTCATTAAGTTTCTGTCTGCTAGGTCTCTCCGTTATAACATTATTCTTTGTCCCTTTGAAATTAATAGTAAGTGTTTTTTATTTGTATTTATAATCAATAAGTAGTCTGATTTGAAAGAGTACTTGAAGACTATAAACATACTGCTTCTCATCAAACTTTATCCTCTGATTTTAGCATCTGATGATATTTCTTGGCTGAATTATTACTGTGATGGTTGCCAGATGGTGGTTTTTCTATTTAATCTTGATCCCATTTTATACTAAAAACTTATTTACTTGAAAGCTAACTTTTAGAAGTGGCATAAAGTTTCTACAGAGTTTGTAGTCTCTTTGCAAAAGAGGATCACAAGCTAAAATCATTTTTAAACAAACAAGATAAAGAATATTTGGTTTAATGTTTTTCAATATTAGAAAAAAAATTTAAGTAAAGAAAATTTTTTCTTTGACACGTGTCTAAAAGTATAGCAGTCTAAAAATGTAGGTGATCAGAAGTATTCTTTATTTATAAAATACGAATTATTTCTAACAGTTAGTAATGTTTACTGGTAGTGGTAGGTAATCTACCAAAGTTAAATTGTGTTGATGGCTGAGTTTAGTGGCAAAACTAAGTGCATTTGTATACATTAAAGTAAAAAAAATATTTTTATATCATAAGGTATCACATATTATATGTATACCATATTTGTTGTGTATAATTTTCAGTATACTAAATATCTGATTTGATGGATCAAAACTTAGGTTTTTTTCTCATTATTATTCCTAAATTTAGGGGTTTTCCTTAGTAATTAAAGTGTTGTGGTCTCTTGCTCTTATTATCTAGCAAACAGTTATGGTAAGTTACTTTAAATGTACTAGACTTTTAAAATTTTGTCCAATTTGGGTTTTTTCATGTTTAAACCCATTCAATGATTAAGTATCTTATTCTTATAAAACATTGATAAGCGTTACCTTGATAGCCAGTAACTGATTGTACTTTATGACTACTACCAGTATGATATTCAATGTTTAGATTACCTTATGATGTTTTGAAGACTCTGTTTAGAAGACATAATGTTATACCAGCCTGACATGGAGTTTTGAAGCCAGTAGACTTGTGATCAAGCCCTGATTCCATAGTTTCTGATTCTGTGACTTTGGGAAGTCAGTTAACATTTCTGAATCTCAGCATTCTCATCTATACATAGAGATAATAATTGAAATGAAAGTACCTTGAAATTATGATGTGCTATACACATGTGATTATAGTAAATACAAATCTGGATATGGTATTTACTTAGTAAGGTTGGACCGTAAGTTAGATTAGGGTAGTATTCCACAAAATATATTTCACTATTACTAATATTAAATTTATTATTTATATTAGTTTTTATATTCATTTATTTTATGTGGCTTTTCCCAAACGTATTTGACTTTACTATCTTTTATTCATAGAACATGTTTTGGTTTTCTCATGTTCCATGAAATACACTTTGATAAATGATGGCCCAGTACTGGAACTATAATTGAATTATGAAACAGTTCTCCAGATTTGCTAGTTATATTCAGTCTTTAGCCTTGAACGACAACCATCATTGCTAAAGTTGTTTGATAGTTGACTCATTCTGAAGGACATAGTTATTTAGATAGTGATAAAATAGCCAGCAAAGGAGAGTAATTTGAATTCATTTAAGAATTTTCTGATAATGTAGGGTAATTTTGCTATATGTATCAAGATGGCTTATAGTAATATTTTTGAAGGTGTCAATTTTTATGTCTGAAATTACTCAACATGTGATATTTTATTAAAACAGACAAAAAAGTGATAGTTCCCTTGAATCCAGTTTTTATGAGTATCAGAGGATATTTCCCTGGCAATCATACAACCTAGAATGTAATTCTAGTTTTGCTTTATGTGAAAAACCTTGTGGAGATCATTACTGATCTCTGGGACTTAATTTCATGATATGTAAGATGGCAGGATTAAATGAGATATAGAGTTTTGTGCATATATGGAAATTAAGCCAGATTTGGGTCCATCTATTGACTCTGCAAAGTCATTTCATCTTGGTGGTTTGTAAATCTGTATTTCTGTATTGGGAGTCGAGGGAATGAGCTCTCTGTTTTGGCCTGTTTCTCTCCTATGACAGATGGGCTTTCATTGTTTAAGAGGGAAGAAATTTGATAGTCATGGCTCACATGCAGTCATCATGGTCAAGTGGTTTGCTGGCTGAAGGCCCCACAGCATCTGCTCTGTAGCCGTTTGTGTGTGTGTGTGTGTGTGTGTGTGTGTGTGTGTGTGTGTGTTTGAGAAAGGGTGGTGGGGGGGGGAAGAGAGGTATATATTGCAGGGCTGGGCCCAGAGAATCTCCCCTGTAATCTTGTGTGTGTGCATGTATACATGATGTGTTGCAGAGTAGATTTTCTGTGATTATCTTACCAGAATCAGAAAGGAAATGGAGATGCCAGTGGTTCTCAACCTGTGGGTCGCGACCCCTTTGCTGGTCGAACGACCCTTTCACAGGGGTCGCCTAAGACCATCCTGCATATCAGATATTTACATTACGATTCATAACAGTATCAACATTACAGTTATGAAGTAGCAACGAAAATAATTTTATGGTTGGGTCATATCATGTGGAACTGTGTTTAAAGGGCCAGAAGGTTGAGAACCACTGTGCTAGACGGTCAAAACTAATATTTGTCCATTTTAGGTAATGACATTTTAAAATTTAGTTTCTGGAGCTTATTCATCAGTACAGTCAATAAACATACAAAGGAATAAGCTGTGATTGGGGAACTTGTCTATTAAGGGTTGCTGAAGGAAAAAGAAAATCAATTTTTATTTTAAAATAAACATTTTAATATTTTAAGGATGTGACATACAAATAATTCTATTAATCTCTTAAGATTACCTAAAGCATAAAAATGCAATAAATAATAAAA